ATTTCTTACAGTTTTAAACGTAGATATGAGTTAGCTCAATAGGCTCAGGAATCTGTATAGCAGTTGATTGACAGTTTAGAGGCAGGACTAAAGAGCCGGAGCTCCACCCCTGCAAGCACAGCTAGGTGAATACAACTAGATGAATACACACATACTCAAACAGACTAACATACACAGACGAAGGTTTAATATAACACACCAAAGGGGAAAAACACTTGATCTCACTTTCACAAAGCAGGAATTACGAAACTCTTAATAAATATATCCCTCGACTCTTGAGTATCATTTCTAATCCGATAAAAACAACTTAGCTCGTGTGCTTAAGCGGTACGTGCGCGCCTCGGCTATTGTGATCGGCTCTGACATGAGTCAGGATAATACAACTTCTCAAGAATTTATCATATTTTGTTAAGACGTAAACAGAAATATTCCATGCCGTTACACTGCTCTTAATATGATCACTAATGGGGTATTTTTAGCTAGGAGAGGTTAGGTGTGTTAGGTAGATAGATTAGGTTGGGTAAGGTAGGTAGATTAGGTTAGGCAAGGTAGGTAGGTTAGGTTTGGCAAGGTAGGTAGGTTAGGTTATGCAAGGTAGGAAGGATAGGTAAGATTAGATTCCTATGCTGCATGGGGACGGAGGAGTGCCCTGTGGTATATATTGATGGGAGTTTAGGACATCCACGGTGGTACAGAACTTGCTGGAGAATCCCACTTCGGTATATACCGCTGAGAGCTGGGGACTCCCACGGTGGTAAATAGAGCACAGAGCTGCAGATTCTCACAGAGGTATATACTTCATTCAGGTGGGAGGGAGGGAATTATCAGGGGAAAGCTCCAAGTCATTACGACTGTACAGCACTGGGAAAGGGTCAGGAAAAGGTTTTAGAATGTGACGGGGGGAAGGACTGGTGCCCAACCACTTGTGAACGGTCGGGAATTGAACGCCGACCTGCATGACGCGAGACAGTCGCTCTACCATCCAGCCCAAGCGGCTGGGCATTCAGGTGGGAACTCCCACGGTGTTACAGAAAGAAAGTTTCTGTTTCTCTTACAGAACAGAAAGCTGCGGGCTCCCACTGAGGAATATACAGCATATAACTAACACTGTGGTGTATACAACATACAGCTTGGACTCTCACGGTAGTTAATACACATCACATCAACGTGTAATTATTTATGTCTGGAGGAACTGTGAGGTAAAAAGATGAGATGAGGAGATCGAATTATGTCTCCTCGCATCTAAACCAACACGTGTTTGCACTCCTCTTCTGAATCGCCTCTATTTTTTTCGTTGTGGATACTCTAATTCTTTGTCTTATTTACTTCCTCTCCTTCGTACGGCCGTGCGATATTTTCTAAATTGTTTGGCTTTTTTCTTAAAAACTGAAAGGAAGTTCGGCACAAGTTATGTTTTTATTTAGTTTTTGTTATGTTTGAAATAATGATATAAGTATTCTCCGTGGCTTATATCTCACTGGAGCAGAATTAGCTGATTTCCATTTGGTGTTAAAATGTGTTTATGGATTATTATCATATCTTTTTGAATCCCTTGAATGTTTTCTTTGCACATAAGCCTCTCCCGAACACAGGGTTAAGCCTCTCTCGAGCACAGAGTTAAGCCTCTCTCGAGCACAGGGTTAAGTTAAAAAACGCTCAACAGAATAACGGATTAAAAAAACACAAATTTTTGAGTTTTAGCTGAGAAAAGCTATTTTTTCATGTGATGTTTTCCCAGGAATACTTGAGGTCCAGAATTCAAAAACAGTCGGACAAAAAACTCTGAACTCCTTAATGACCTGGAAACCAAATATTCCTGGATAATTCAACCCAAGAATATTTTACAGTAAACAATTTCTCAAGCCAAAAGAAAAAACAATAATGTACTACTAAATGAGCATTAGGGTATCAAATCCCTTCCCAGTGCTATGCAATTATACAGGCTTAGTGCTTCCACCTTATAATTGCCCACTTCATAATTGCTAAACCAAATAATATAGAACTGTTCTCATTATGACACTGTTGAGAACAAGATAAAATATTGCAGAACAGTTCTCAATATAAGAACAAGAGAAAATATTAATGAGCTGTTCTCAATTTAAGAATAAGAACAAATATTGTTTTAACGTTCTCAATATGATAACAAGAGAAAATGTTGTTGAATTATTCTCAATATAAGAACAATAGAAAATATTGCTGAACTGTTCCCAGTATGATAACAAGAGAGAATATTGTTGAACTGCTCTCACTAAAACACTTTTGAGAGCACGAATAAAAAACAAATGAAGAGCAATTAAATACAATAGAACACTGCAGCACAAGAAATAACAGAACGGAAAGAGAAAATAACATATCAAAAGTTATGCAAAACTATACAAAAATTTACCATCATGCAACCCAGTGCATTGAAGAATAACACCACATGAACAACTGCAACATATCATAAGCCACATCAAGAGAACATAAGCCACGCCCTTGCAACATACACTATAACAATAACATAGGAGAAGAACAACATAAAACATACAAAACAGTTCGAAACACATATCAACTGAGAATCAAGCACCAATAGCATATCAACATACCACATAACATAATATCAAGAAACAATAAGTAATGGGAGCTAGTACCATGGCACTGTTAACTTAAATGTGACATACAAGTGCATAATACAGTCAACCAATACATAATTCAAAGCAAAAACAGAACAAACATATAATACAATTCACAGGGGTGCCCAAACATAATACAACATGGTACTCAAGAATATATAATACAACAGGGTATCCAAACAATATTCAATAATACAATAGGGTACACAAACCTATCACAATTCAACAGGGTACCCAAACATAACGTAAAGTTCCATATTTCAAAAATGTATACAGCACAAGATACATATAAACCGTTCAACAACAAAATAATACAATACCGGGCAAGTTTTTTTACACAATTCAGTAATAATGCGGTTTTGCATCATAATAATAAAATAGCAAGCAAGGCTGCAACACATAACTTGGGCTATGCCAAAGTATAGAGCGTAGCATGAATACTTCGTCCCTCACCACTATAAAACACTTTGTATCAATACATCACAGCGCCTGGGCACGAAAACAAACACATCAGTGTTGCTATCTTGGGTACGGAGTTTACAATACCTGTCCTTGTTGCTGTCGTCATATGTGCGATAGCTTGAGACGTTAAATGGTAATGCAATTTCCTTCAAGTTATTGTACCAATCTGAAGCAATAACTTGAATCATCTCCTCACCAATCTGATGATTCTTGCTAAATGTTTCAGTTTTGTTTAAGATGAAGCCTTTTACCAGGAAAAAAAGTTATAACCCAGTATGACAGTGGAGCACACTGGAAGAGATATGTGGACAAAAAACTGAGATATGAGGACAAAAATGAAGGATATCTGTCATATTATTAGGACCATTAGGAACTGAACCCCGACCCCGTAAGAATCAAGGCAGTCGCTGTAACAACCAGTCTAAGTACTGTTTCTTATGTCAAATGTAATCCCGTAGAGGCTGCCACTCGTTGGTCTATAGATCCTTTCCGGTGAAATAAGGTGACACGTCCTAGCAAAGACACAGTTGTCATGCGTATTATACATCACACCACAGTTTCCAATACCTCTTCTGATAAATACTTAACGTAGGTCTGAAACAGTCCAATATCAATGATGATAATCTTCAGGTGAAGTTTTTGTTAATTGATTCTTACAAAAATTGGACGCGAGAGTGCTATCAGGAATTCACTTCTGTAAATATATCGACAATAGTGTGAGAGATGGGCCCCGAGGGATCACAAACTATTGTGATAAACAATGAAGGAACTGAGAAGCCAGTCGTCGTGTGCTTCTTCCACTCCATCACCACTTCCTCGCTGGTAACCAGACCAGATCAACATGATGCTGGTCCTTCACACCCCCACAACAACCCAGAATTTGCTGACGGAGGAAAACATTCCAAGGAAGAGAATATTGCCATCTTCAGCTGCCACGGAGAGTTCCGGGTACCGGGCAATGGGGATACCACATCAAAGGAGAACGTGGATGAGGGCAATAACAATTTGCGTAGCAATGTTACTTATCGTCTCTCTCTCTCTATCTCTCTCTCTCTCTCTCTCTCTCTCTCTCTCTCTCTCTCTCTCTCTCTCTCTCTCTCTCTCTCTCTCTCTCTCTCTCTCTCTCTCTCTTTCTCTCTCTCGCTCTCTCTCTTTATATTTGATAACGTTTTTACCCTTTTCAGGTGTCTACTTTCTTTATCGATTTCATTCTATCTTTTTCTCTCTTGTTCCCTTTCTCTCTCATTCGCTCCACCCGGGTAGGATAGGAGAGCTGGCAGTGGTGAAAGTGATGTTAGGGAGAACCCACTTGCTGGTAACGACACGCGAACCTGCCAGGAATGTGTGGAGGACGAGTCAGTGTAGAACTTGATGGGGAGTGGGAGTCCGGCAACCCACTCCACGATAGAGACCTGAAGCCCACTCCACCACAGAGACCTACATACCACTCCACAGCAAAGACCTGAAGCCCACTCCACCACAGAGACCTACATACCACTCCACAGCAAAGACCTTCAGCCAACACCACCACAGAGACCTACATACCACTCCACAGCAAACACCTTCAGCCCACTTCACCACAGAGACCTACATACCACTCCACAGCAAAGACCTGAAGCCCACTCCACCACAGAGACCTACATACCACTCCACAGCAGAGACCTGAAGCCCACTCCACCACAGAGGGTCTGTAGCTTGTCGTACGGAGAGTTGAGCTTGTGACACTGTAAGGATGTTGTTGTAAAATTGTGTGTGTAGAGCATGAAGTACTGAGAGAATATGCTGCTTGTTGCACTGACAGATTCTCTCTCTCTCTCTCTCTCTCTCTCTCTCTCTCTCTCTCTCTCTCTCTCTCTCTCTCTCTCTCTCTCTCTCTCTCTCTCTCTCTCTCTCTCTCTCTCTCTCAATGAGCAACCAAAGACTCACGTCAACATTGACGCCCGGGACAAAGAAGGTGTTCTTAGTGACGTTGTTAGCGGGGATGTACTGGTAAAAGAGCTTGTCTCCCTTATACCACTTGAGGCTGTAGAGCGTGGCGTTGGCCAGCTTGTAGCGGCACCAGAGTTCTGCACGTGATCCACGCTCCTTGTACTGTGGGACCTCTACCTCTTGCAACACCAGCGTGGCTCCACACCCTGGAGGAAGAGAGCAACGGTGTTACACCCTTATATATATATGTGTGTGTGTGTGTGTGTGTGTGTGTGTGTGTGTGTGTGTGTGTGTGTGTGTGTGTGTGTGTGTGTGTGTGTGTGTGTAAATCACGAAAATATTAACTCGTGATGAATAATGTGACACTGTTTAATCACGAAGAAAATGAAACAAGAAATTCTTTAGATACTTTCTTGTTAACATCTGAAGGATGAACGTAATTCAATGATTGGGATAAATAGGCAAGAAGGATACATGTGATAAAGGATAATGTCATTGAAACCCAGGAATAAGATGAAACAGCAGAAGGTCCATTTACCCTTTCATTGGAGTTCGAGTAATTAACAATACTAGTGAGATAACTGGGTATTAATGATCTTATTCAAATATTTTGTAATTGATTAGTTTAAAATTTATCCAAATTGTACAAAACATTGCTAATGTTCATAGTGAATGGATTTATAATTTGTATTCAAGCAGATTACTGAATAACGTTATCGAATCTGTCACTCGATATATGTCTTTTGGGTAGAAAAATTATTTGCTCATTTTCCCTATTTGTCCTTGTTTATCTATTACTTACCTAACAAGGAAAGCAGGAGGAGGAAGCGGAGAGTGTGAGGGTGTGATTGTGAGGTCATGTTGACGGTCGTAGAGGTACCTCACAATCTCAGGTCATGTTGATGAAGGTGCGAGCTCTCACTCTCACGGGTTCTCACACCTGCCCATACAAGCAAATAATATTATAATACATTTTACTGACTGTTGATGACTGAAAGTACCAACACAATATTGTACCACTTACAACACGTCTTAGGTCGGCAATATATTTCCCAAATAAAGAAGAACTCATGAAAAATATTTATAAAATGCTAGGTGAGACACCCTGTGGTGCCTTGATCAACTCCAGAAGGCTGTGTTATGAGCTCGGGTCGACCCTGGATCCTGGATAACCTAGTGCTTGGGTCGACCCTGGAACCTTGACAACCTAATGCTTGGGTCGACCCTGGATCCTGGATAACCTAGTGCTTGGGTCGACCCTGGAACCTTGACAACCTAATGCTTGGGTCGACCCTGGAACCTGGATAACCTATTGCTTGGGTCGACCCTGGAACCTGGATAACCTAGTGCTTGGGCCGACCCTGGAACCTGGATAACCTATTGCTTGGGTCGACCCTGGAACCTGGATAACCTAGTGCTCGGGTCGACCCTGGAACCTGGATAACCTAGTGCTTGGGTCGACTCTGTAACCTGGATAACCTATTGCTTGGGTCGACCCTGGAACCTTGATAACCTATTGCTCAGGTAGACCATGGAAACTGGATATCCTATTGCTTGGGACGACTGACTGACCATATAAAGGATTGAACGACATTTGTCTTTTTGATGGCCATTCTTTTGGTTTTGTGAGAGTTACTTCTGACTGTTGTAGTAAAGGTGTTTCCAAAGACAAAAGGTGTTCTTGACTGAGTCAATCACCTGACCTATATTAAATGGAACTTACGTTTCTTCTATTTATGAAAAGCTTGAAGGAAAAAAAAGTCCTCAAAAAAAAACATAGCTCAGGATAGCTGCAGTAGAGCAATAGCTGATAGCTCTACTGCGACATTCTGATACTGCTCTATCAAGATTATCTGATAGAGCTTCACCAGGGAAGATGCCCTGCATCTGAGAATGTGTATAAGTCGAATACTATTAATTTATAATATAATTATGTACTCATATATATATATATATATATATATATATATATATATATATATATATATATATATATATATATATATATATATGATAGTAATAAGAGCAGTAAAACACAGCAGCATAAACACCATTAGCATTCAGAGTAGATGCATATCTTTTGGAGTAGATACATTGCAACTGAAGTACCATTGTTGCTGAAATATCACTAGAATGATTTAATTTTCAGTATAAGCAGCCCTTTCCCAAATACAGAAGGTTTCAGGAGCGAAGGTTCAAAGGTTCCAGGGGCGATCAAACCTCTTAAAATGAACCTTATATGAGCTTCTGAGGAATGTATAATTAAAGATTTTATATCAACCTGCCATAAATCTATCCAATATGCCCAAAGGGGCTCTTACGATTTAACGTAAATGAAATAACATAAAAAATATCAATCTCCTTTAAGGAGTACTAGGAAGGAGTCAGGAATTGGGATGACTTCAGACTCTCTCGTTATTGGAAACCGATAAAGCGATTGACATATCCAAGAAGTCGTCGAATCCTATCATTACTATAATTTTAGTATGTAAATTTTATGCTAAAAATATTGCTGAAAATGTTAACCAATTTAATTAACTTATACAAAGTAATTATCAGGAAAAAGTGTTAAGCCAGTATGGTTATGTAAGACGTGGGAGGAAAATGACGACATGGATCTGGGCTAAACGGAGGGAATGAACAGTGCCGAACCACTTGGACTATTGGGAATCGAGCTCAAACCTGCAAGAAAAAAGGGCCGCCTATGCACCGACTACTCCAAATGGCTGAGTTTAAATTTCCATAGACACTATATATTTAATAGATAATCACATTGCTTTATTGTCTGAAGAATCGTTTTAATACATGCATGAATGTAACGAGCTCTTTCGATGCTTAACTATATACTGCAGCTTGGGGACAATTCAAGATTTAAAAACAATATGTTTTTATGTATGTATTTATGTATGTATGTATGTATGTATGTATGTATGTATGTATGTATGTACTCACCTAGTTGTGCTTTCAGGGGGGTTGAGCTTCGCCTCTTTGGTCCCGCCTCTAAACAGTCAATCTACTGGTGGTGTTCATATTTCTGAGCTACTCGAGCTCTATCATATCTACATTTGAAACTATGTGTTGTATGTATGTATGTATGTATGTATGTATGTATGTATGTATGTATGTATGTATGTATGTATGTATGAATATATGTTTGTATGAATATTTCAATAAAGGTAAAATTTAAACAGCATGGCAATATGGAAACTGTTAGACATTTATCTTACCTCAAAAAGTAACAGAAATATATGAAAAATTATATCGGCATATTCAATATCTATGTAAATTTCTTCCGAACTATATAATTGATCAATTCCCGACGGAAAACGTTCGCATTATAGCTGGATATCCGTGTGTGTGTGTGTGTGTGTGTGTGTGTGTGTGTGTGTGTGTGTGTGTGTGTGTGTGTGTGTGTGTGTGTGTGTGTGGGTGTGTGTGTGTATATGTGTGCGTGTGTGTGTGCACTCACCTAGTTGTACTCACCTAGTTGTGCTTGCTGTGGTTGAGCTTTGGCTCTTTGGTCCCGCCTCTCAACTGTTAGTCAACTGGTGTACAGATTCTGGAGCCTACTGGGCTCTATCAAATCTACATTTGAAACTGTGTATGGAGTCAGCCTTCACCACATCACTGCCTAATGCATTCCATTTGTGAACTACTCTGACACTGAAAAAATTCTTCCTAATGTCTCTGTGACTCATTTGGGTACTCAGTTTCTATCTGTGTGTGTGTGTGTGTGTGTGTGTGTGTGTGTGTATGTGTGTGTGTGTGTGTGTGTTTTCATGTGTGTGTGTTCACAATAGTTTGCTTGCTTGATCGAGCTCAGGCAGCAAATCTTTGCCTGTTAATGACGGCAAAGATGTTACAATACAATCACACTCAATAAATATTGAACAAACTATGAACTGCAATATTACCTTTGTATTATACATAAGTGCCAGAAAATAAATTACGTATATTTTAAAAATGATATATACCCCAAACATTAATAAGTAAACAGTTGCCAGAGTTCTGCTTTCACAAAAAGTTCAAATTAGTATTAAAATATATTATGAAAGGATGTCTCTATCTACCACTAATTCAATGAAAAATCTAAGCCTGGACAAATATTCAGTATGAAATATGCATTACGTTTCAGAGATAGATAGGATCATTAAAGCTTTTTAACAACAATATAAAATTACAGCCACAATACGAGCCTAGACACAATGACAGCTATCATCAATGACAGCCTGTATCAGTGACAGAGAGCAGCAGTAACAGCAACAATGACAGCCTGTATCAGTGACAGAGAGCAGCAGTAACAGCAACAATGACAGCCTGTATCAGTGACAGAGAGCAGCAGTAACAGCAACAATGACAGCCTGTAACAGTGACAGAGAGCAGCAGTAACAGCAACAATGACAGCCATAATTCCGGATATCAACAACGACAGCCAGCCATTATGACCACCAGTCTCATTAACAGACAGCAACAATGACAGGTATCAACAAAGACAATCAAAACAAATGACAGCCAGTCACAATAACAGGTAGCCACCACGACAGGCAGCCACAGCGACAGGCAGCCACAGCGACAGGCAGCCACCACGACAGGCAACCACCACGACAGGCAGCCACCACGACTGCCAGCCACCACGACAGGCAGCCACAGCGACAGGCAGCCACAGCGACAGGCAGCCACAGCGACAGGCAGCCACCACGACAGGCAGCTACAACGACAGGCAGCCACAGCGACAGGCAGTCACAGCGACAGGCAGTCACAGCGACAGGCAGCCACAGCGACAGGCAGCCACAACGATAACCAGCAACAACAAGTCACTGACAGTCAGGGGAAAATCAAACACATTTTTATCGCGTGTCCTCCTCCCTGTCTGTTTCCTCTGACATCCTTCAAATTCTTGTGTGAGAGCTCCACATTGCAGAGCATGTCAGTAATCCAGTTGGTTTTGCCATGTCCGTCCAGAATGCATTTTCCAATATGTTTGCTGGGCCAAGGTATTATCCACCCACCTCTCTACACTTCCTGGCACGTGATGGGGGTTCTAGAGGAGCCACCTCAAGCGACGAGTAGTGGATCAGTATAGGAATCATTCTTTATTGCCTAATGTAACACTCAGTCTTCACAAGTCCCATACGCAATATGGTAAGCAACTTTCTTGGTTACTTTATGTTTCCAATTTGCATTTTTTCATGGTGGGTCAAACAATTCTAGACAAATTATGGCTTATGACTCAGTATGGATCTCCTAACTAGATGATTTGGTGTTTAAGTTTTTTCCTCGAGAGACAATGTAACATTAGAAAATTCTTAATAATTTTCATTAAACTTTATTTAACTTACTCCCCAGTGGGCATATCAGGCTCTAGTAACGTTGCAGCAGTGTTGAAGCAACGTCGTTTGCCTAACAAATGCCCACCGGGTACCAGTGAAAGGGCATGAGAGTACTCATGTGGCAAGCGAGTATTGCGACAAGAGTCACTATCACATAACGAGCGAAAAACATGTTAAAACCTCACCTTCACCAAGTAAACCAAAGACTCGGGGTCACACTCTTTGTTCCGATCCCAACAAACACACAACGTTGACGTTGTAACAAAGGAAATAACGTTGCTTCAACGTTCTACCCATTAGGCACTATTTCAAGAATAAAGTCATCAACGTTAAATTATTATCACTGTCGGGTATTGTACCGTTGGTATGTATGTAGTGTGACTGCTGGAACTTGCGTGTCTTCTTTCACCAAGTAAGCTCCTCGTCTCATACGTCGGTGTTTCAATCGTTGCCAGCCTCCAGAATCTCGACTTTCCATTTATCACAGTCTCCCGTCTTCTTAACGGATGTTCTTATCTTCCTAGACATTTGTCATTGTAGAGATGCCCCTTCTTTTGGTAATATTTTATCCTTCTAAGAAAATGAATAGTTTCTTAAACTGCCGGTGGAT